GCAACCGTCCTTTTTCTACAGATCCCACCAGCGCCGGAAGACATCCCAATAATTCACTTACTTGAAGCCCTCCCTCTGCACTAGTGCTTTAGCTATGTGATCAACTATTCTACCTTCCTACTCCTAACCTCACTGGCACATGGCACAGGAAGTAATTCTGAGATTACATAACTAGAGGTTCTGCATTTCAACTTCCTACTTAACTCCCTAAACTACCTTTGCAGGGCCTCATCTCTCTTTCTGCCTATGTCATTGGTACCAATATGGATCACAACCTCTGGCTGCTTGCCATTTCCCTTCAGAATATCCTGTGCCCACTCAGAGACATCCTTGACCCTGGCACCAGGGAGGCAATACACCATCCTGGAGTCTCACTTGCGGCCACAGAAACACCCATGTCTCTGACTGTGAGTTCCCTATCACTGCAACCCTCCCTGCTGTATAACAGTACCAGTCATGTGGTACTGATCTGGCTGCTGCTGTTGTTTTCCCCTGAGGCGCCAACCCCACTCCCCCACTCCCCCACTCCCTCTCTCCCCCACCCCCAATAGTATCCAAAGTGTTTGAGAGGGGAATGGGCACAGCGGACACGTTTGTTCATCTTCCTGGCGGTCACCCAACTCTTCTTTGTCTGTGTAGCCCTTATTGGTGGTGTGACTAAATTTGCTATCCAGGACATTCTCAGCCTCATAAATGCTCCATAGTGAGTCCACCCACACCTCTAGGTATTCCATGCAGATAATCAGGAGTTGCAGCTGAACACACTTTCTGCATGGGTAGTCACCATAGATACTGGAAGTATCCCTGATTTTCTAAATACTGCAGAAGGGACATTCCACAGGGCCGAATGGCCTGTTTCCATACTATAGGGATTTTATTCATTCTATTCTAAATTGAAAATTGTGTCTGAAGCATTTACACACAACTATAATACAATGCCCATAGCGCAACATATACAGTGATATTAACAGGGGAATGATTTCATGAGAGAGGAGGACAGAAAATTTGTAAGAACAGATGGGACTGAATGTTATACTTTGTTGGTTTGTGGGGTGGTGGTGAGTGCAAAGGAAGAGAAAATAAATTGAGCAAATAGAATGAAATCTGGATTAAAAGGTGGATTGAAGAAGATTTCCAAAAACATAGAGAGAAGTAGGATTTAAAACTGATATTGGCTCTTAGCTGAAGTCTATAATCTATTCACAAAGATGAGCTTCAAAGAAAGGTTGAAATGAAGCAGTGATATAAAAAAGGCCATGTCACTTAACCAAAGGATGTACGAGGAGATACAAGGCTGGCAACGGTTCAAGGCTAGGATGCAGTATAGCCAAGATAGGCTGCACTCATCCCAAAAGTAATTTTAAAACAAGAAGTCATATTTCAGTAAACTGAAGTTCTAAAAACCTGAAATGAGCATAATTCATTATATTTAACAATTAATAGCACGCAACACAAGTTCCTTATATCCTAGCTTAGTCAACTTTCAGAATATTTAAATGAAAATTTAGCTTTGAAGTTGGTGGTAGTTTTAGCCGTGATGAACAAAATAATGGTATTCACTTCATTTGTGTTGATAGGCATTTCTAAATTGCTCCTTGTAAAATCTCGCATGGCAGCATTGTGATATATACCTTTGGAAGATGTAAGGCTGACAATTTAAACACTTCTACGACAAGAATTCAAGAAAGCCAAATTAACTGCCATAACTATACTAAAGGAAAGTCAGTAGACAGTAATTTATTGCAATGAATCTAGTATCGGAGACGAGGAAATCACCTGCTTTCGGACAATAAAAAGCTAACAAGCTTTTCGTATACAGAGGTTACAGTCAAATATGCACAAGAATAGCTTTCAGCTGAAAGCCAATGAAAATAATAAAATTCAGCTGGTGTGAGATCAATTTTGAACACGTACACTTTCAAAAAGTGAAGCTGGATTATTTTTCTCCCACAACCAAGTCAACAGAAAAAAAAAGGATCATCATTGAAATGCAATAATAATCTAACCATGTCCATTAGAGAGACACATATCTTCCTTTCAATAGTAAAAATAAAAGAATAGTCTCTATCTTTTGCATAAAACACTCATGTTCTCCAAGGCTCATACTATTTCTGATCGGGGCTGAACATATCTTTTGACATTGTGAGCAATGCCAAGGTTGCTACTGCAATTGCCTGACAAACATATCATACTATTAAAGGGAAAGCTATTATTAGGTTATCAGAATGAATTGGCCAGAGATTTACTTATAAATAATTAAATTTTACCTTAGATATATTTAGGTAGTAAACCACTCAAAACCAGGCAATGTGGATAAAGGTTTTGAAAATCTAACATCAAAAAATTACCATTTTAGGAGATTTTGAATTTACAATCATTAGCTGTCAGTCAGGATCAGTATTAAATTTCGCTGATGTACAGTGCTCCCCATTGGACAAGGTGTTAAGTACTGACAAGCAGTAGCAATGCGCTTGAAAGAAATCATTCTTTCAATTCAGCAGTGTTATTAATACCACTGTGCTTGTAAGAAGTGGTTATTTTAACTACTATGTAACATTAGTTCGTCTTGTTGTACCCTAACCTTCACTGACCGAGACATTGATAATATTCATTCCAGTAGAATGCATTACATGAGAATTGCATAGCCTCCCCTGTAAAATAAATCCCTTTTCAGGTTCATTTGCATGAGGACAGGCAGGACGCCTGCTCTCAAACTGCTGTTCACAAGAGGTACATGAAGATCACAGCATGATAATAATTAGCTTATAATTTCCTCTCTCCTTCCTCGACACTTCTCTTTCTAACTCAGCTGTTTGAAATGTAGAAAGCAGGATGGGGAAATGGAAGCCCAAAATTATTTTTTCTTTTTTTCTCCCCCCAATTCATTCACAGGATGTAGGCATCACTGATCAGGCTAGCATTTACTGCTCATCCCTAACTGCCCAGAGAGCAGTTAAAAGTCAACCAAATTAGGATTTATGATCACTTGGATAGGCACAGTTTGATTCGTGATAGTCAGCATGGATTTGTGAGGAGTAGATCATGCCTCACAAACCTTACTGAATTCTTTGAAGAGGTGACCATGGATGAAGGTAGAGCAGTGGATGTGGTATACATGGATTTAAGTAAGGCGTTAGATAAGGTTCCCCATGGTAGGCTCATGCAGAAAGTAAGGAGGCATGGGATAGGGGGAAATGTGGCAGATTGGATTCAGAATGGGCTGACCCTTAGAAGACAAAGGGTGGTAGTGGACGGAAAATATTCAACTTAGTGCTCAGTTACGAGTGGTGTACCAGAAGGATCTGTTCTGGGTCCTCTTCTATTTGTGATTTTTGTAAATGATTTGGATGAAGGAATGGAAGGGTAGATTAGTAAGTTCGCGGACGATACAAAGGTGGGTCCACTTGTGGATAGTGGAGAGGGCTGTTCTAGGTTACAAAGAGACATCGATAGGATGCAGAGCTGGGCTGAGAAGTAGCAGATGGAGTTTAACCCTGACAAGTGTGAGGTGATTCATTTGGGAAGGACAAATTTGAAAGCAGAATACAGGGTTAACGGAAAGATTCTTGGCAGTGTGGAGGAGCAGAGGGATCTCGGGGTTCATGTCCACAGTTCCCTGAAAGCTGCCACCCAGGTGGATAGAGTTGTTAAGAAGGCATATGGTGTGTTAGCTTTCATTAATAGAGGGATTGAGTTCAAGAGCCGTGAAGTTATGCTCCAGCTATACAAAAGCCTGGTTCGGCTACGTCTGGAGTATTGTGTCCAGTTCTGGTCGCCTCATTACAGGAAAGATGTGGAAGTGTTGGAAAAGGTGCACAGGAGATTTACCAGGATATTGCCTGGAATGGAGGGAAGGCCTTACAAGGAAAAGTTGAGAGAGCTAGGGCTTTTCTCTTTAGAACGACAAAGGATGAGAGGTGACTTGATAGAGGTGTACAAAATGATCAGAGATATAGATACAGTAGACAGCCGGAGACTTTTTCCTCGGGTGGAGGTAGGTATTACGAGGGGGCATAGTTTTAAAGTGAGTGGAGGTAGATATAGGGGAGACGTCAGTGGTAGGTTCTTTACTCAGAGAGTGGTAGGGGTGTGGAATGCATTGCCGGAGAGGGTAGTGGAGTCGGCCTCATTAGGGGCATTTAAGCGGCTATTAGATAGACATATAGATGAATAGTATAAGGTAGGGGTGGAGGTTAGATAGACATTAGGTTTTCGGTAAAAGTTCAGCACAACATCGTGGGCCGAAGGGCCTGTACTGTGCTGTATTGTTCTACGTTCCTACATTCTACGATTTTCGATCTGGAATCACATGTAGGCTAGACTGGTTAAGGACAGCAGTTCCTTTCCTGAAGGTATGCTTGTAAATCAGATGAGACTTGCCTGACAATTGACAATTGTTTCATAGTCATCATTCAACCTTTACATTCAGATTTTTATTGAATTTAAACTCCACCATCTGCCATATGGACTCAAACCATGGTCCCCAGAACACTGCTCCCCTCTCTGGATTCACAGTCTAGCAGTAATACCACTAGTCTATAGCCTCCCCATGTGAATCTGTACTTAAAAACTTATTTTGCAGAGTCAGCAGGTCACAGCCAAATCTCAGTAGAGTGGCACTCTGCTTCTGTCAATTCTGCTGTCAGCCATCAGCAACCACACAATCAGTTTTGCCACTCATCTGACCTTTACACTGTTCTGGGAAACAGCTGCTGAAACAGTGACTCAACATTTGCTGTTTGCAGACAAGCTGTATATCTGAGACTTTTAAGGAACAAGTTAAACAACAAAATACTTTTTTGAATCTTTCAGCAAATCTTCATTCGCCAACTTGGAATTTAAAAACAAAAATAAATTGTACATGCTGAAGTGAAGACTTGCAATGTGGATGTCTAAATGTATCTGAAGCTGTTTAAAGATTACCAGATATGAGCAGTATCTGTAAAATCATGCTGCATTAAGGGTTACATGCAGGTGAGCATAAACAAAAAGGATCATACCTGCACTCCTCATCACTCTTGATGAGGGGGTCAGAACCAACTGTACCCACCAGAAACTTGGGACTGAGCAGTGGCAGGCGAACATGTTGTAATACCTAATGAGAGGAAAGCAATCAAGATTATATTGGGAACTATTGATCCAAATAAATATATTGATGATAACTTACTTTAAGAACTGATTTACACTTCAGCATTACGTAATGAACGCTCAACACACAGAGTTTTAGAGCCGAGTTCTTATTTGTAGCTCTCAATGCTGCTGAGTTTCCAATATAAACGGTGGTCACAGTGGGAATGTGTCAAACAGGGACCATCACATCCATCTTCTTTCGTTTCATTCATGGGATGAAGGCATCACTGGCTAGGCCAGCATTTCTTGCCCATCCCTAATTGCCCAGAGGGCAGTTAAGAGTCAACCACGTTGCTGTGGGTCTGCAGTCACATGTAGGCCAGACCAGGTAAGGACTGCAGAAAATCTCTCATGACTCCCTATTACTATCTTAACTGAATACCCAATAAACAAACAAGTCATCAAACGTACATCAAACAAATCAATCGATCTAAACTGCTGTCAGTAAGACTTTAGTCTTCTACTTTTTGAAAAGGTGTCATTACTTCTTTAGCTGGTGCTATACGACACTGCACCCCAGACTGAGGGAAAGTCCACTCGACATTTTGGTGTCGACTAATGTGACATTGAGACTGCATCCTAGAATCTAAACAAAAAAAATTTTTGACATCCGTGTAAAATCTTTCTCTGAAAGCTTGACAGGGAAAATAAACCCACAATGTAGGTAACTGTAACAGTAACAGTAAGCATGCAGAACTGAGTTAACCCATAAAAGAAAGTGTTAAAAATAGTAGGCTCTCAACCAGTTTAAGATTTTGAAAGTATCCACAATTACATATCTACATGATGATCAGAGCTTAGCATCCCCAATTACATATTTGCCCAACTAGGGTAAAAAAAAATCACCTGTGCAACATGTCCAATTATCTCTTGCTGGCAGCAGAGGAGGAGGCTCAAGCAGTTCAGTTTAGTCATTAAAACAAGCAATATTTAGGGCATATTGAAGGTGCAAGATGATGGTTCAATAAAATAGGCAAAGGTACATGGTACCACAGGTTGCAAGTTCACCCCAGTTTCCTAAAATTCAATTCCTAACTAAGGCTTCAATCAAAACCTACAGCACAAAGGAGGCTCTTTGCCACATCATGCCCATGCTGCCAATACTACAATGACCAAATGGAGGCCAGGCATATGAACAATCCAAAAAAGAAAATCAGAAATCAAGTTATTCCAACTTATTTTGCACATCTTAATGGTTAGTTACAAATGTTACTGCATTATCATTAGCCTAGTAGTCAAGCATCTACTTTTAAAAAAAACCATAAGATTCTCAAATAGAGAATTGTCTCTATTCTCAAGCAGAGAATAGCACTTGATTCAAAGATACATTATTGGAAAAAAGTGAACAACTGACACTCAATGAATAACGAAACAGAAATTACTGGAGAAACTCAGCAAGTTTGGCAACATCTTTGGAAAGAAAGCACAGGTAACGTTTCAAGTCCGGTGACTCTTCCTCAGAGCACACATTGTAGCTCCACCAACTGACGTGAACTTATCCTGAATTTAATACACCAGTTGTCTCTATGGCCGATGAGGTTATTCATCAGATTATTTCACAATACATATAGGGACCTCTTAAGATCATGACAAGCATTATATGAAGACAAGTGTTTATTTCTTGCCTGAAACTGCTTTCTTAAATATTTAAGCTTTCACTCTGCTTAAAATAGGCCAGTTCAAATTCATGCTCACATTCTAGTCGCAAGTAACTCCAATACATGGCTGGTCCAAGACAGAGGATTAGTAGCAGGATTCTTATTAAAGCTCAGAAGTAAACAAGTCACACAGTATGCAACATGGCTCTATGCTTCATTTAGAATGAGGAATTCTTGTTTTTGAAACCCAAGTAAAAGAAGGCCAAGGATTCAGATTTTCACCCGAAGAATGCCTACCTGGGGAAGCTGCGGACGTCGCTCTTGAATGCTATATTTGACCCACGCCATGACTGCATTGAAAACCTGCTCCTCACTCCGCACGTTCAACTCATCGCTGGAAATTATATCAATAAGTTGATTGGCTGGTAACAACATGAACTCTTCACTCTCCATCACCTGAAAGCAAAAATAAAGATAAATAATGATCGGTTTTATCAAAGCATTGATGTACAGAACTCTGCCTCAAAAAGAAAAGTTTCTGTCAATGCCAGATTTCTTTCAGCAAAATAATCACTCTTTACTAAGGCTACTGGATGTAACATTCACAACATATTCCAAATAATCTGACGCCACATACCGGAAGGAATTTAGCAGTCATGTTGTTGGAAGGACTGCACTCTCTGTGAAAACACGCAGTCTCTTAATTTCAAAAGCAGCAAATGGATAGACTGGAAAACACAGGACTTGAGTGCATTCTATCAATCAAAATATAACTTTAACAAGAATTTTGATTTCATTTTGGAGGTGGGAGGTAGGAGGTAGGGAGGAGAATAGGGGAAGGACAAGCAAGTTAGTCTTTCTGAAAGTGGAGACCTGATTTTACTCCTGCTAAATTGAGAATACAACTTATATACATACAGATAAAAAGCTCACTACATGGCTAGGAGCTTCACGGCAAAGGAGGATATTCAATACTTCAGTTAATCTATTTGACTCCAAAGTCAAATCTTCATTGGAAAAAATGATAGAAACAGCTAACTCAATACAGAACAAATAGTGCCATGGGGACCATTCAGGTTGAATAGCTCTGTAGTGCCCTGATCAGTGAAACAACTATGTACAATTTATTTCCCTTACCATATTCCAAAAAAAATTATGGGAAAACTTCTCCTGTGCACTATGAATAACAAAATCATAAATGCATCCATTGGGAATTAAGTTTTGATTCTGATACAGGACATTCTCTCTCTTGCCTCATTAAGTCATCTGACATATTCACTAAGCAAAATTTAAATTGACACACCAGCTTTACTTTCCATCTTCTCTTGCAGAGAGACAGTTGGGTTGGGTTGGGTTTGGTTGGTTCTCCCAACCCTCTCCATCACACCATCCCATCTTCCAACCAGCATAAATTAGATTTCAACATGAGGGCCCTACATCCCATCTCTATGACACAAGTAGCAACACTGGCATGCCACATACAGGTTCACTCAAAATCAAAACAACTTGCAATTACACACAAATGGTGATGCTGTCAACAATCTAAATGAATTGTAATTACTTGTAAACTACCTTGTGAGCAAGTTTGTATTGTGATTGTATCATTGTACACTTCGCCAACGAAAATGCATTTCTTAACTATTTATTTTGCTCAAATTCAGGACCTGGACACAACTTTCTTCCATACTGCAAATTCCTAAGAATTTAAAGCTGCAGCTATTTATCATTTGGAATGGACATCTATAGGTGCACATTTCCCAACAGAAATTATTTTAGCTGCCCAAATTGTCAAATATTAACTCGTAATCAAAGAAGTACATTGATGGATATCAGACGATGACAGAAATATGCTTAATTGGGATTTACCCTAAAGTTAAACAATCTTTCAATATTCACTATAAGATTGCACAAGAATAAAATTCTGGTTGAGCATGCGTGTGGGAATTCAAATCAAGAGGAGTGTTAGGAGACTAATAAAAATGAAATAACAGAGGGCTCTGGCAAAGGCTGAAAGTGGGTAGGCCAGATATAACTTAAGATCCTGCTATTGATGGTTTAGCAGGGATGTGTGGTAAAGAGAAAATACAATCAGCAAATTCACACAGAAGTAAAACCACTTGCAAGTTAATTTAGGAAAATTTTCATCTTTACCTTTCGAAGCAAGAGGAGATTTAGGAACTGTGGCACATCTGGGAACACTGATCTCTATGACAAAAATATTCGTTAAGTCCATAAAATACTTTGGTCATTTGGCCCATCAAGTCTGCTCCACTATTTGATCATGGCTGATATGTTTCTCAAGGCCATTTCTTCTGCCTTCTCCCTTTAATCCATGCTCCCCTTACCAATCAAGAACCTATCTATCTGTCTTGAATACACTTAATGATTGGCTTCCACAGCCTTTTGCAGCAATGAGACTGGCAGATTAACCACCATCTGGCTAAAGAAATTCCTTCTCCACTCAGCTCCAAAAGGTCGCCCCTTCACTCTGAAGCTATTCCTTCATACCTTCGTCTCTCCAACCAATGAAAGCATCTTCTCTATGTCCACTCTACCCGAGCCTCTCAGTAAGTAAGTTTCAATCAGATCCCTCCTCATCCTTCTGAACTCCATCAAGTATAGACCCAGAGTCCTCAACCACTCCTCATATGACAAGCACTTCATGCTTGGGATCATTCTTGTAAACCTCCTCTGGATCCCCTCCAAAGCCAGCATGTCCTTCCTTAGATATGGGGTCCAAAACTGCTCACAACATGTCAAATGCGGTCTGACCAGATTGAAGTCCCCTGTGATTATTGTAAAAGTGCCTTTCTTAAATGCCTTTTCCATCTCCTGATTTATTTTCTTCCCCACACCTTGATTACTGCTAGAAGGCCTGTACATAACTCCTATTGAGGCTTTTCTCCCCTTGGCAGTTCCTCAACTCTAATCATACAGATTCTATGCTTAACAACTCTAACTTGCTATCGACTTAATTTATTTTCTTAACCACAAGGCAACTTCACCCCATCTGCCCATCTTCTTGTCCTTTCATTAGAATGTGTATTCTTGAATATTTAGTTCCCACTTGTGATCCCCTTGCAGCCACATTTCTGATACCCAAAACACCATATCCACTAATTTCAATCTGCACTACAAGCTCATTTACCTTGTTTCATATACTGCAGGCATTTAAGCTCAACACCCTCAGTCCTCCATTGCCTGCACCCCCCACTTTTCATAGTTGTCTCCTTATCTGCTGCGCCAGAAGTTAGATTCTTGACCTTTTCCATACTTTGTCCTACTGAGAAATTAAGCTACAAGATAACCTAATGCAACATGTACTGTATACTTACTAATGTAAATCTCAAATAATTCAGTATTCCTTTTCCTCCTTTAGAGTTGTCTTCAATAAGTACATTTACAAGGATCCCCTGGGGAGATGCATATTCACATGTTTAATCAGCAGATGCACTTTTAGTAGCTAGTACAAGGAGAAATCCCTATTGTATTCCCAATTCATATTCTGGAGAAGTGGATTTATATATTTGCATTTTAATCAGAAATAATAAATGCTGAAAATTTAAGGAGGATTGAATCATCTTCTCATCTATTTAGATAGCTGTCTTTCAACCTGCCATGTCACATTTTAACTGCTAACATCCAATTTAAAGAATTAGCTTACATAAACAGAATCTGATTTATTCAAATATATCCGAATAAGTGTAATCTGTAGTTGATAATCCCTAACCTGGAGCCAGAAACAAATCACCGAGGACCGTTTTCAATTTTTAAAAAGTTTTTCTAATCAACTGAATCATACGCAGATACATTAGCAGAGTTTAAGAGGGGTTTTGACAGACAAATTAACAGGCAGGGAATTGATGATTATAGACCATGTGCAGGCACATGGGATTAGTTTAGATTGGCATAATGAACGGCACAGATGTCATACAGTCGTAGAGATGTACAGCATGGATATAGACCCTTCAGTCCAATTCATCCATGCCGACTCGACATCCTAAATAAATCCAGTCCTGTTTGCCAGTATTTGGCCCATATCCCTATAAACCCTTCCTATTCATGTACCCATCCAGATGCCTTTTCAATGTTGTAATTGTACCAGCCTCCACCACTTCCTCTGGCAGCTCATTCCATACACGCATCACCCCGTGTGTAAAAAAGCTGTTCCTTAGTCCCTTTTATATCTTTCCCCTCTCACCTTAAACCTATGCCCTCTAGATCTGGGCTCCCCCTGTCCTGGAAAAAATACCTTGGCTATTCACCCTATCCACACCCCTCATGATTTTACAAAGCCCTATAAGGTCACCCCTCAACCTCCAACACTCCAGGGAAAATAGCCCCCGCCCATTCAGCATCGTCCTATAGCTCAAACTCTTTTGCACTGATGTGTTATGCTTTTCCATCAATGAGGATTGGGATATTTATGGAGCCTCTTTCTCCAGCGAGTTGTTTAATTATCCACCACCATCTATGACTGGATGTGGCAGGACCGCCAAGTCTACATTTGATCCATTTGCTGTGGTGAGCCGAAGGGCCTGTTCCTGTCTTGTGCTATTCTATGTTCTATGATATTAGTCACATAGATTCTTCTATTATTTAGACTGCTATATTGCTTTTCAACACACAAAATTTTCAATGATTTAAATTTACAACAGAAGATATTAAATTAATCTATATAATTATAAAATAATATATTTATAATAATTACAAAACAATGACCCTTAAGTTTGCCCAATGTATTAGAATATCCTGCACAACTCTGCCTCCACATAGTGCTCCTTTCCAGCAGTGGAGTTGTGTTCTATCCCTGGAACTAGTAATCTTTACTTTCATGGGTTCTGCACATCTGTAAAGACAGTAATCCTCAATGTTCCCTTTGATCTCACTGCAGAAGAATGGGCCACAGCATTTACTGCTACCAACATGAGCATGCTTGTGCTGGATTATCAGCTTCCACTTAATACAAAAAGATTTTGTACAGTTTTCCAAGAGTAGGTGAAAGAATAGTCAGAAGAAAATAAAGAAAATAAGCCAGTACAGATATAAAGATTGGTGGAAGTACAGGTAGGTTGCAGAAGGACTTGGACAGGCTAGGAGAGTGGACAAAGAAGTGGCAGATGGAGTATAATGTGGGGAAGTATGAGGTTATGTACTTTGATAGGAATAGAGGGCATAGACTATTTTCTAAATTGGGAAAGGCTTCCAAAATCTGAAGCACAAAGGGACTTAGGAGTCTTAATTCAAGATTTTCTTAAGCTTAATGTGCAGGTTCAGTTGGCAGTTAGGAAGGCAAATGGAATGTGAGCTTTCGTTTCAACAGGACTAGAATACAAGAGCACACATAGCCAGAAGTTTCCATTAATCCAGCAGATTTGGTCTTCAGTAGTAAGGGTAGTGCAACTTTCAGATATACAGACGACTGCTGAGACTGCAGACATGACTAGTCAGAAAAG